AAAATATATTTTCAATTTCAAAAACCTTGTATCTGGAAAATTTTGCATTTTAGAGGGTAGGTTAATAGAAACTTTCTTTCAAATTTTTGGGCGAGCTACGAGGTAGGTACTGCGCATATATTATAAAACGCCCTGTATAGAATCAATTGTTTAATATACGAACTTTTAATGACGGTTCGTGTATTTTGCTCTTTACTCCTCTCTCACCAGAAAATACGTGTTTTGATGAGCTAGTTAATTAGTAAAGAACGCACCTCGTCTCCGATGTTGCTCAACAACGAACAATTACCTACTACAATTACCAGTCACTTAACATTTAGCCATATGTGCATTATAATAAAAACAATTAAAAACTGTTAATTAGGTAAAATGGCAGAAATGCGTTAGCCGTGTCTCGTGCGGCCTTGATACTCGACAGTTTTGTTTTATATAATTTTCCCAATGATATTTCTATATTCGCTATTAAAAATGATTAAGACATATTCGGATTTAACCTTCCTTAATAATCAAAACTTTATGAACGTGTTGTGCTTCCTAAGGTGTTTGGAATTTAGGAACGTAAATAACTGAATAAATTATACATAAAAGTTTCAGTAGCTGATTGATTGTGGCCGCTTAGACCTTAATATCTACTTGTAAGATGCTCGAAAACTGAAAGATGACATATCCATACAGGAAGGTTTCGAAAAATTGACGAAATGATTTTGGATTTGGAGACATTTTTGTAAAATTCACAATGAACATAGCGCATACAAACTTTGTAGGTGTGAGAAATCACATTGTTCAAATAACACCTCTAATTGTCTCAGCACTAGCAATTTTCTGAATCAAGTTTTCCGTGCCGTGTTTCGTATACCTATCTCGATTTACGCGTTTGTTTAATTATTGTTATTATGTGACCTTTACCTGGGCCCGTAACCTATACCTAAACGAATAAGTAATCCAATGGATGTTTGCATATAATTTTATTTTTTTGTGCCATTTTTTTTGACATAAAACAAATTATTGTTCGGGTAGTATAGTTGGCTGTGGTTTTCTCTTTCTAGCATAAACGTAGGGCCGTTAATAGGTTCATATAATGTGGTTTGACGTCAAAACTCCTATCATGTGATATCTCGAAGGAAAGTATAAAGGGAAACTGGCCCTCTTCAATTCAGACTGGCGTTGGCGTACCTCTAAACGAAACTGCCAAAAACAGATTTTGACGCAATTTCGAATCCGAGGTTTCTCAACACCAAAATAACGAATCCAACATTGAACGGGTCCGTGAAGTTAGCAGAACATTGAAGGCAAAAGTTTGCCAGCAAAACATACCGTAATTTAACGCGTGGTGTGTTCACGTTGAGTTGAGTTAAAATAACCACCCGTAATTTATCGCAGGGTAGATTTGTTAGCGCTATTAATGCGGTTACATGTAATTTATTGCATCGAGATCTGCGGAAAGAATTGCGTGCGCCTGCAGTAGCGAAGTTTGCGTACAGAAAAAAACAAACGCGTAAAATTGTGAATTAAAGTGTTTAGTGACCCTCAGAAACAAATAATAACTTATGGCTTAGGAACCATTACGTTAAATACAAACAATAGTGGAAATTCAAAAAAAGTCACTTAAAAGTTTAAAAACGCGCCGGTCGCATCAGCAACGGTCGCCATTTTTTCAAGATGGCTGCTTTAGAGATATACCTACGAGTAAAGACGTATAACATCAATACTAATAGAAGTTATTTGCGATGAAAAAAATACATTAGGTACTAATTAATTCCAGTTTTTTACTAGCGTTTCTAGACTTATAATAAATCGTCTTTTCGTACAGAAAGGAGCGGATCCGACGTATTTTTGCTAATTCAGTAACTAAAAGTAAAAGTAATCCTCAAATTAGCAGAATAAAATTTGAATTAAATTAAAATGTTAACGCAAATTAAGCATAAATGCATTTCTGAAACAGAAACGAAGGATTTGATCAGTAATTGTTTATAAAAAGCTACCAATTTTATTATTATCCCATCTCTTCTCTGAACAAGCGAGACATTATCGGTGAATAATATTAAAATAATTACCATAAACTTGACTGGGTGTCTTATGTTTCAACAAAACGGTTCTGAAACAACTTACGGTTCTTCTCCATAAAAACAATAATAATCCTTTGGGGAATCCACGGTGATGTCACCCAATGCTGTGGTATTTCTTCGGGAAGCATAATTTTCTTAATGCGTGCATTTTTAATGAGAATTAACAACTTTTACTTCTTCTCAATCCACCATTGATTGATTATAAAAAGTCGGTTATGTAGTGAATGGTGCTGGACCGAAAACAGATTCGAAATTGATGTGAGTCTAATGTACTTTGTGCCTTGAAATAAAGTTTAATGCCCCTATGGGAATTAAAATATTGCAAAAATTAAATTGTTTCTTTTTAGAACTCAAAAATTCCTTTCTTCGACAATCCAAAATTGCGCATAATAGGCACTTAATTTCTCCAAAAAATTACAAAATCCGCCGCTAAGTCAAGTTGAGTTGTTATGATTTTTGCTTAAATTGCATGTACGGACGGATACACGGACAAGACCTTCCCATAATGTGTTTGCGACACATAAGTAAACATAATAAAACATAAGGAAACATAAGAAAACATAAGAAACATAAGAAAACATAAGAAAACATAAGAAAACATAAGAAAACATAAAAAAAC